GTTATAACATATGTTATAACATATCTTAATATTTTGTCTATTATCTTTTCCCATATCTTGATACTACCCTTAAATGAATTTAAAGTCGGGTTAAGTTTGTTGTTAAAATAATTTATGAAAATTGTTTGAGAATAATGTCTTCAACTAGATATGATTTGTGATATTTTGTGATTTGTAATCATTAATCAAAATCGGTAAAATATGAGCTGAGAAAAAATAGCAACAGATAGAAAAAAATATAAAATAAACATCTCAGTAAAATTAATACCTTTTCATCAAAGGTGTAATATAATATTATTTAGCTAATATTTTAGCTTCACATCTAATACAAATTATTTATTTAAATGTATACAAGGAAAATATAGTTCTTTATAACACTTCAAATGTCAAGCCTAATGCATATCCGTCCGGCACGTCAGGGAATGAGAACAGTGTTGCTCTTACGTGTCATATATGATACTGTGACATCCATCACTTCCCAAGTGGCCTGGAAATTGGTAAAAATTAAGAAATGTTATTTTTTAAAGGATACATGTAGTCCACATAGAATAAGTATTAGTAATCTTTCATTTATTAATAGTATGGAATTTTAAGTTCATTTATGATTTGTTTTTAACCGAAATATCATCCTTTTATTAGTTATACATGTGCTGTTCTTAACAACAATGTAGAATTGTTAGGTTCAATATAAAATTCTAGATATATTTCCTTTACTTCCGCAAATGCGTGGTCACACTTGTTGAATTAACTATTGGTTCAAAGATAATATTTGATAATACTTAAACAGATTTTCAATATTTAAGGTGAAAAATATAGCCAGCATTGCATATTTTGGTTTATTCGGGATGGGTTTATCTTTGAAAAGTAGTAAAATTATCTTGTTTAATTGAATTTATATTTATTGACTATTGCTTATTTTAGGTGCTTGTTTATAGGTTTACTGGTAAGCGCTTACGTGCTTCTTGAATATATATAGATTTTGTTTTGTATCGTCGTGAAAATTAAAAGACATTACAATGTCGTGTAATAAGAGCTTAAATATAGTACCGAAGCAATTGTCATTACTAAAGGTGAAAAATACAGCGGTATTACCCACTTATGATAAATATCAATTACAAAATTGTAATGTATAAATAAAAAAAAAATTTTGTTCAAGCACTTTTCCATCAAAGAAATTTATGATAATGATGTAATTACTGTTAGATTGAAAATTATTTTGATAGAGTTTTTAATTTAAATTTTGTTATCATATACTTTAAAATAAAGTATTGTAGCAGAATTAATTATTTATTCATAATATTACACACAATCAGTAAAAAATTTAAGGTTGCTAAAATGATTGATTTCAAGTTGAAGATAAAGTATCTAAATCCTCTAGATTTATATAAAATATTTTTGTTATTTATGACTAGTTTTCAGGATATTTTATAAATCATATTTTACCACCTCATTAGTTATAATATATGTTGATTTGAATTTTTTGTAGGATTTAATATCGCACTAAATTGCATAGTGATATTTAAATTTTAAGGGACAAAAATTGAGTTACGACAATCTCCGATACATGTGTTGTAATGTTTTCAGTAACATAACGTTATTAGAAATTTAATAGGTTTTCAATAATATTTTTTTCAAAAATTCTAATGCGTTTATGTTTATACCTAGTTTTTCGTTGACTAAACAGTCTATTTAAGGTTTTATTACTTTGATGTTTTTTAGTTTCATGTATTTCTCGATTTATTAATTATTAAGTTTTTTTATAATTTATCCCTAATACCTTATTTTTTTAAATGCCAACATATATATATNATTTTAGAATAAAAAAACTTCCGAAGTAATGGTTCAAAAGTTTTCTTTGTCCACCATTTTTAAATTAAATCATTTTTTATTTTATAAGCTAGTTAGGTATGTATATGTTGCCATTATAAAATACATTTGACAACGTTATTAGATATAAATGATAAATAAAAAAAATTATTTTAATTGATAAATCGAAAAATATAAGAAACTAAAAAACACCAAAAATGATTTCATATCATAATTATTATTTTAAGAGAAATCTAGTGGATAAGATTGAATATCAAAAAACTTACCCTATTTCTTTTTGTTACCTCTATTTCTCATAAGTCATTAATAGATTAAACTTTTTTTGGAATTGGTAGCCCCCTTCAGTTTAATATACATATTAGATTATCTCTGTAAATGTTTATAACTAACTCTTAAGTTATTTAAAATTTTTTGTTTTTGCTAAAAGTGTTTAAATTGTGTAATTCCCCTCGGTCCACTAGGACTATACCAATTGACCTAAAATATAGACAAATTATTTGAAAAAAAAAATTAAAATAGAAAATTATATAGTCACGAAAAATGCTGATTTTTCACATTAAAATACATTTCTTGTTAATGTTCTGAGGCCTTATACATAAAATAATAATGAGTCAAGATAATTTTTTTTTTATTTATAATAAATTGCGTAAGAGATAATTTAACATATGATTAAAGTCTGGAGTATTTCTGGAATATTTCATAAATTTAAGCATATAAAATTCCACTTATGTTTCAAGTTTTGAACCCTTCCTATATAAGGGGAAATGGTCTATATAAAAAAAAATTGTATAAATTCATACATTTTTAAAAAATGTATAGCAATTTAAAATTAAAAACATGAAATATTACCACAAAAATAACATGTTTTTTCAACTTATATTATTTAACATAAGCTTTAATTTACCATTTGGTTAAGGCTCAGAGTTTTTCTCGATTATTTTTAAATTTGAAGTTGTAGAGTTTAACTATTCATGTAAACGTACTAATTTTTAATATTCTCCTGTGAGCATAGTAAAGGGTCAGATTTTCAAATAATTTATATCGAATGAAAAAGAAATACCTATATATATATGAAATAAATTATTTTGATCATTCATTTTTCAAAGAGTTATGACAGTTTTAAGAAAAAAGTATAAAGTATAAATTTACCGATTTTAAAAATTGTTGTTTTTTGGAATATTTCCCTCATTTACTGAAAAGGAGAAGAATTTTTAAAAATTTAAGGGTAATGTCTTCAATTAGTTACAAATTGTGATCTTTTAATTTAAAATCAACGAGAGAGATAAATTTGATGACTATAATCGTAACAGTATAAGAGCAACGAATAAAAATAGTGTAGTAAATCAATCATGTAAGAGAAATAGGTTTCTCTTTCACGGGCTCCTGGTGCTGGTGTACATTATACATTGTGTAATTTTATACTATCTGAAGATATTTATCTAGATAAATTTGTTTAAAGGTAAATTTATATAAAAAATACATTATATTTGATTTAAACTAGATGACAAGCTTAACGTAATTTAAGATAGAATTTATGTTATTTTAATAACAAATATCTAGATGTTTTATTATTATACGTTAATTCAGTCATTAGTTTAATGAAGAGCACATATGATTTAAGAAATATTGTTTAAATATTTGTTTGTCGAACTTTATTTATGTAAATAAATTCAATACAAAATATTAATAGCAAAGTGATAATATTTTTTAAAATTAATCAGTGGAACAAGATCAAATCTACGTGAGAAATGTTATGAAAAGACAAGAATTTATCTGCATTTTGTCTAGAAAAAAGACATATTATTTTATCTTTCATCTAAATATTTTTTCTTCAAATATTTTTATTTCATCTAAATAATTTCTTTTAATAATGCCGAACAAATATTTATTCAGTTCTCAATTAATTCAGATAAATTTATAATTGGAAGTATTTAAATTCCTCCTAATTCCTGTTCTAGTATTTGTTATATCCATGCACATACTTTGGAGACCATTTTTTAGCAATACTCAAACTATACTTACATTCTTTGTGGAGACTATAATTTGTCTGAAATTACCTGGGATAATGATGATATTGGTTTACTATACACATATATTTCAGAGAGACACTATATTTCTTACACAATATGGCTCATTTTTAGAAGATCTTTGAATGATGGAGTTTTCGCTTTTATAAATGGAGTTAGTCGTACTCTTCTCAACTGCAAATTGCTTTGTTTTGCGTATGACATGAAGCTTTTTTTGCAAATTAATACGCAAAAAGATTGTATTAAGCTTTAGCATGACTTACCCCCGGTTTACAACTTGGTTTGAGGTGCTGGGCTTGTTGCTAAATATTTCTAAATGTCAAGTTATGTCTTTCACTCGCTCTAAATCTCCCATAATATATTATTATTTTATCGGCAATTCTAACCTTACTCGTGATTATGTCATTGCCATAGATCTTGGCATTAAATTTAATGCTTCTTTAGATCGTTTTGTATTAGATATTCCTCATCCCAACATGAACTCACCTATTGCCTTATACCTTAATCTTTTCTCACTTGCTGATCGCGGAAAGGCCCTAGGTACTAAATTCTTAAAAAATTTGCTTGGTGGTAAAGTTGACTCTCCATCTCTTTTAGCGCTAATTAATTTTAAAGTTCCCCAGAGAAAATCCTGAAATCACGTTCACTTTTAGATACCTATCTGTTCTTCTAATTTATAAATTAAATTATCAAAAAATTAAAAACTTTTGAGAAAAAAAAATTCTAAGAAATCTAATTTTTTAAAAATGTATAAAATAATTTTTTTTTTAGAAAAATAAAAAATATATGATTATTAATATTAAGATACCCTTAAAATTTATTTTATAATTTTTAGTTAAAGAAATACAAACATCATGATAGTAAATGAATAGAAAACCTTATTGAAAACAAACAAATTACAATTATAATTAATAAATAAATCCAATGTTTAATTGCATCACTTAATTATACAAAATACGCATATCTTTATTTATATTTTATGGCATGTTTAATTACCTATTACATTATTAATAATTCGATAAGCCAATTTTCTTGTGAAGGTTAAAAGTAACTTTTTAGTACCCAAAATTAATGATTATTATCTTAATTGATAATGTGTCGATTATTGTGATTCAAATATATAAAGAAATAAACTTCAAGTTGGTGAGTTCATTTTTTATTTAAACTGTAATCGAATTTTAAATAAAGTAAATAAATTGTTTTTACAATCTTTTTTTTAAAAAAGTAAATTTTTATATTAGAAATTCCTCTTAAATTTGAGTGCGGTCGTCGATATATTGTGCTATCAAATATGTCATTACTAGTCATAAAAGATGACCACTTTAGTAATACATTGGATTATGTTTAAAATTGTAATATTACATTAATAATTTTAATGATTTATTTTATTTTATAATTAGATACAGTTACTGTAAAACTAAACAAATCACCAGTTAACACTCTTAATCTCGAATTTTTAGAAGAAATAAAAGCTCTAATAATAAAATTGAAAAATGAGGACTGTCGAGGAATGATTCTAACATCGGTATAAATTGAAAAAATTAATTTGTTAAATAATTTTGTATAGCTATTATGGTAAGTTTGATAATCATTAGAGACCTTATATATGGAATTATATTTTCGTAGTATTCTAGAATTAGTAAAAGCAAGGTCGAATAAATTATAAAATTAACCTTTTCTATGCAGCCTAGCTGGAAAATTAAAAATATTACTTTCACGAAAAGGTAATTTTTCTTAGTCAGACCCCGAATAAAATTACAGTTTGTATGGACATGTTATTTTTTAATATAACCGATTTAAGTTATAAAAATGGTTTTGTAATACGATTAAAGAGATGGTGGCGTAGCCAGGAATTTAAAATAGTTATAGTTTAAAATATCTCCAACTTATTTTTATTTTAAACTTTGTTTTATTTTAGTTCGTCATTTCCTTTTGGAGATAAATATTGCAATTATGGGAGAGTGAATTGCTCCAATGACCACTAATTTCACCTTAAGAAATAGTTTAAACTAAAATTTTTAGGTTCTTGATAAATAGTATTGAACCTTGGTTTCAAAGAACATTTGTTTTAAACTTGATAAGTTAATATTAATTTTCAGAGTTTGGCGAACATATTTTCAGCTGGATTAGACATTAATGAATTACACAAACCAAATCCTACTAGGTTAGAAAAATTTTGGACTACTCTTCAAGACATATGGCTAGAACTTTACTTATCACCTTTTCCAACTGTTGCTGTTATTAATGTATGAAATTTACTATTTTATATTCTATTAAAGGGTACATCTTTACATCTAAATGTTATATTTTATAATTAAACCGTCCAGTTTCAAAAGTGTGTTTATTCAAATTTTTTTTGTTAATTTGCCTTTTCCTTAAAAATTATCTTGTAGAAGATTATAGAAAATGTAAAATAAAATTTTTTTGGACACGTCCTTTTATAACTGGACGATTCATTAATCTCAGTATCTCTCTATTAAAATATGCAGTTTTAACTCCATAATGTAATTTTACTAAGAATATTTTTACATACTTTCAGTAATTTTTATTTTTAATAATCTTTGAATGTTTAAATATTGTATGGACATGGTTTCATTACAACACCTGTCTTATAAGTACGCCCAAAATATTGACAGTAAAAATTGATAATAATAGGATACTAATAAAATAAAACATTATAATATTTTTAGTATACTTTATAAATTGTAAATCAATTATGATTTTATATTTATTATATTACATTTTATTACTTTTATTGATCACAAAAGGTCAATTGTGATTAAAAGGTTATGATATACTTATATAAGTTTATGATAATTAGTAAATATAATTTATACATATTTTTAATTCTATATATTTATTTCAAATAAATAATGAGTTATTAAGTATAAATTAATTTAGTATTCTAAGATTTTAGTTCTTCTTATTGTTATTATCATTCTAAGTGTAGAAAATATCATTAATTTGTATACAAAGTTTTAATTTATGGAAAAATTAAAAAATAAAATTTTTGTTTACTTTTTATGAAACAATTATATTGAATTGTTATTTATGATATCTTAAAAATATTTTTTGAGTAATGCAAGGAAAATTGTGCTGCAATTTGAAACCTGGCGAGGGATTAAAATTTTTTTTTAAATTATAGGGTCATAGTCCAGCAGGAGGTTGTTTACTAGCAATGAGTTGCGATTATAGAGTTATGGTTGAGTCAAAGTTTAAGATTGGACTAAATGAAACTCAAATCGGTATTGTAGCTCCAAAATGGTAATATTTTATAATCAGTACATTAATTACAATGTGTTATAATCAAACATACTTAACTTCAATAAAATCATTTTAAGGTTTCAGGACACTATGGTTGCTGTAGTTGGTCAACGAAATGCTGAGGTAGCATTAACAACGGGTAAGCTATACATAGCTAATGAAGCGTTAAAAATAGGTTTAGTTGATGAAATAGCTTTAGACACTGACAAGGCTATGGAAAAAGGAAAACAGTTTTTGAATAATTTTCAAAAAATTCCGTGTAAGTAAATTGGTTGTTTTCATTGTTGTTCAAAACTTAATTTCAGAATTTATTTTAGCTTGGGCTTATAAAAAAAGTAAAGAAATGATTCGTCAACCAATTGTTCAATGGTTAATCGACAATAAAAATCAAGATCTTGAATTTTTTATGGGTTACATGCAATCACCAGCTATCCAAAAGAATATTGATGTTTACTTACAATCACTAAAAAAATGAATCATTGAAAAATAATGGATCACAAATGAATTTTCTGGAAAAATGACTTTTTATACAATCAAAAAGAATAATAATATTTACAGGAGTACCGTGTAATTGTTATATTGTAAAAAGACATGAAATTAAAATAAAAGTTTAAAAATGTTATTTTAGGTTTCAATGTATTTAGTACTATTTTATTTGTAGTAAGAAACACTTACAAAAAATCAGACGTGCTTTTAAATTATAAGAACTTTAATTTTTATTTTATGATAAATAATTATCCATTGTGAAATTAAAAAGTTTTTTATTTAAATTTATTATATATTTATTTTAGAAATTAAATATGTATTTTATTTATGAGTTAATTAATTAAACAAACGTTTAAAAATAAATAAAATAAACGTTTGTTTATAATTATTTTTTTCGGTTTCAATATTCTTAAAAAATGTTTAAATTGATTAATTTTTATTTATAATTATTGTTTTTTATAGAAGTTTTAATAAAATATATATCATCATAATTTGGTTTTTTTTTTTTAAATAATGATGACTATTATGCGGGGGAATTAAGCAAACCTAATTTTTTCATAAATTTGATTTTATATTAAATATATATATATAGACTAGTATCAAAGACAAACTGACACTTGACACTACTCGATTTAGTTTTAAGAGTATTCCATCCTGAAATCAAAGGATTTTTGTAAGAAATAATAATCAAAAACTTGTTTTATAAGTAATAGTCAGTCCAAAGTCTAGAGAAAGTGGGAAAAAATGTTATTTGATTATTGTCATTATCATTATCGTGTGTTATATAAGATCTTGCAAAACTTAAATAAATTTTCAATGATATTTTTATTCATAATATCATTTATTATAATATAGTATAATATGATACTACTTTATATACATTTCTTATTATTAATGTACAACTTAAATATTTTCTTATGCATGTATTCGAAATATGAGTATTTTAAATAATTACTTACATTATTTATGTTTCATTGATTTAAAGTCACTCGTTTATCAATTTCAAAATAAGAAATAAATATTTCTTTATTATAAATTGTGCGAACATTTTATCTGAAAAACAGCTATCTCGATATTCAATATTTCTTTATATTATTTATTATTATATTTATTAATAAATTAATTGAGGTATTCAGTCTATGTTAAAATTTTCTTAACATGCATGATAAACAAAACAAAGCTATGCGTTATTGTACAATTTGGTTTCTTAATTAATGCGTTACATCAGATTTCACCAAATCTGACCGCCAGACTTCCTCGAATTCTCATGAACATCGTTTATAGATTTCACATTTTACAAAATTTGCACCTAATTTTCACAAAATCTGAAATGAAGACACTTTCATTGAATCTTAGACAGTTGTTTTTAAGTAGTAGTAACAATTACAACAATTTTTTATTATCAAATTAAAATATGACAATTCTGAGATACTTGTATTATTTTTCTTAACGTAACATTGGTTCTAACAACTATAACTTTAAGTTGAGCGCAGTAAAATTTTAAAAATAACACAGCTCCACAAAAAAAAAAAAAATCGAAAGAAAAGTGCTAGTAAACAGGCCATGTTTACATTATGTTTTTGGTGTTGCTGTATTCAAATCTGAGGTTTGTTTGAAGACATCACATTAGGGTTTTAAAGTACATTAATAAATAATTTAAATATTTTCATTAATAAATTATAAACAATTCATCAAATCAATGATCTAAATAAAGTACTAATCTGATAATTATCAACAGTAATGTAATTACGTAGCAAATTATCGTAAATTAAACTCTTTTATTTGTTATTACGTTATATCTTTTAAAAATTTAACTTGATATATAATTAAAGTATTCAAGATTCGTTTGCACATTTAAAAATCATAAAGGAAAAAAATAGTGATATTTTGGATTTCCAAATAAATATAAATAAAAAACGTAATTGTCTAATGTTGCAAATAATATTTTCATTTTAGATCGTGCATTTTTTAAATAGTTATAACATATTAAAGTTGAAACTTTTACATTAAAAACATTTTACAAATAAAAAGAGTTGAGGGTAATATTTTAAACTATTAATAATTCGGTTATTGACAAAATTAAATTGTAAAAAATACGTGTACAAATTTATTCTTGTAATTGTTTTTTAACTTTCTTAATACTTATTAAAAACAAATTTAAAATATTTGCTTAAATTAGTTGTTTAGCGACCTTCAAGTAAGGCGGTCCCATGGTGTAATGGTTAGCACTCTGGACTTTGAATCCAGCGATCCGAGTTCAAATCTCGGTGGGACCTGGAACTTTTTGCATATTTACGTTATTATGAATAATAGAGCAGATTAATTATTCTGTGACTTACACAATAAAGTCAAAATAATGGCTTTATATAATTTATGTAAAGAAGAATGTTTTTTACTACGTGACAAATAATAATGAGTTATATTTATCAGGATAAACATTTATTTGATTTTTAAAAATATCGATTCATAAAGATATTAATAAGACTTTCTAAATTTTAAAATATAGCCACACAAATAAATGTTAGAAAATACAATGAGTAATTATATTTTTTAAATATTAAGAAAAACTTACTATGCTTCACAAATATATAAATATGTACATCATTTTGTTCTAATGAAGTTAATAGATTCCAAAAAATGTCTACTTTTATTCTTATCAATATGTACTTATAATATGAATTTTTAACTAATCCGGAAAAGAATTTACTATAAGGTATATATTTTTTATTGAATATTTTAATATTTGTGCTATAAATAAATTCTATATTTAGTGTTCTCTCATTGAACAGTCNTTTAATATTTGTGCTATAAATAAATTCTATATTTAGTGTTCTCTCATTGAACAGTCTTCCTTCTTAAGCCATTATAATTAACAATCCTAAGTGAAATTTGCTTATTATGTTTTTTGGGTATAAATTGTAAATAAGCATTTTTTAAATAAAAAAAATGTTTTTTCTTAAAACAATGATGTTAAGAAAATTAATTTTAGTAATTTTTAATACATAATATGTATTATATTATATTGTAATATATTATATTTATCAATTTTAATACTTTTTCTAAATCATTTTTTATACCTTAAAAGAGTGAAAACATTATTTTTTTATGGAAACATGCACATATTTAACTAGCTTATAAAAAAAAAATGACTGGTTGAGATGACTACTTTTGACCCCTTATTTTGAAAGTTAAAATTATTCTAAAATGTACAGTGGTAGTGAAGTGTGGAATATATTAATTTTATCTTATTTCCTACTTTAATAGCTGTTTAAATATATATGTTGATGTTATTTAAAAAAAATAATGTTGGCACCCTTATAACTTATAACGGATAAATTAAAAAAAAATTAATAATTAATAAATCAAGATATATATCAAAATAAAAAATACCAAAAAGAATTTTCTTAATATAATTATTATTTTATGAATAATATTAAATAATGGATAATATTAAAAAAATCACTATGTATACAACTTTGTTTTATTATTTATATGTTTTACATTATTTTTATTCTACAACTTACTTTTTATAATTTCCCTTAAAAATTACAATACTAAATGATTTAATATATTAAAAATAATTACTATATTAAGTATTAATTAATTTATTAGACATATAAATCACAAAAATTGTAATCAGAATATAATTAAAGAAATAGGAGTTTATGTTGCTCTTGGAATGATTCCTTTTAAAAATTAAACATTATCAATAATAATAAACAGATTTGTAACTAAGTACTTTTTATGATAGATACTTAAAGCAGTGATATTATCTATACTTTACCTAATTGTGGCGCAGCTATCCTATTTTAGGTTTTTAACAAATAGTATTCAATATGAGCTTTAATTTAATAAATGTCAATCCTCGGAATATTTCTGGAAAATTTTCATGCAAAATTAGAAATTTTTCTAGTGGGCAGGTTAAGGGAAAGATTTTTAATTAAAATATATACATCAAGAAAGAAGAATAGCAAAGTATTTGTAAAAAAATATTATTTTGATAGACACAAACAAATAAATTATCACATAATAATAATCACATCATAATAACGTTAAAATTTTCAACATTGCATCGAAGCGAAAATGTTTAAAAAATGTTAACATTTATTGATTTTAAAAGTTGTAATTTTATGTGGGACTTTGACCATTTATAGGGAACAAGGAATTTTTTAAGGGTAATATTTTCAACTAAATAGTATTTGTGATCTTTTGACGTATCTTTGAAAATAATCGGTTCGTTGAAACCTGAGAAAAAGTTAATATTAATATCTTTTTAGCTTCACTTCAAAACTAAAATACCTCAAATTTTACCGGACGCTAACTTTACTTTATTTCAATTTTATTAATATTTTACTTAAATAATTTCTAGTGTATAACTTCTATAATGAACTCTCATTTTATTTTTATTCAATTGACCCATTATCGGTTTTAATCATCCATCGTTTACAGCGTTATAACTTTGTCTTCTCATCCAGCGTCATCTTCATTTAAATATTTCGGTTACTAATTTTTAATTTTTATATTTTAAAAGCAGTATATTTTTATTTTATATCTTTAACATTTTTAGTAATACAGAAAACATTTACATTTGTATTCTTTAATATATAAGCGCAACAAGAATACAATTTTGGGAGCTAAATATTTTCCCATAACCTAAAATATATTTTCCTATTAGATAATAAATAATTTTATAAAAATGATATTTATATTTTAATAGGTTAACATTGATGTTTATGCATAATCAGCAATATCTTCATTGAGAGAAATAATCTTGTAAAGTAACGCCATCACAGTGAACGAACTTCCATTGTTGTTGTAAATACGTTCCCACTTATCGTATATTTGGATAAATATTTATAATCCCTTCAATTCGTGTCACAAATACTGAGAACCGTCGGGAGGATAACTAATAACAAAAGCCGAAATACTTGTACAAGTACAATGTTCCTACTGCTCGACAAATTTAGACAAATAATAAATATTCGTCAATTAGACGAGTAATGGGAACCTGACTTAATTGAAACATTAGATTCATTGTACATATGCAAATTTAAGCAACAGAAAATATTGTTAAATGGACGTTTAATTGTATAATAAACATATTTCTGAAGGTAGTTCTTAGGGACAATTTTCATAAATTAAATATGTACTTATAATTATTTCTATCCGGTTAGATAAAAAAAGAACTAAATAGAATTATGAATGGTCGATAGCTAGTTGTGTAATATTATATTTTAAAATATTAGAATCTAAAGATTTAGACAAGGCGCGTAGCGGGATAGTATTAGCTAAATTTAATTATTTCAATGTGAAGCATTGAAATAATAAAATAACGAAAAATAAATGTTTCATTCCTTTATTTTATTTTAATACGTTAAGTTTTTTATTGGTTTTTATTTATTGATTGGGTAATGAATAAGTTTTTTTTTAAATATGGTGTACCTTCATTTTTTTGCAAATAATTTCTGTTTGCTATTTAAGTTGTAATAAACTTGTTAATTAAGTTGAATTATAAAATCTAACTATAAAATACAAGAGTAATTATATCATTTTTCTCTCAATTTAATTGTTAGTTTGTATTTACAATAAAAACGATAGTGATGCAGTTTTCAAGAATTTTATTATCTAAAATAATTATAGACTAAAAATACTTAATAACTTATTTTGAACATTGACGTCATGCTCGTTTAATTTATGCTTGAAAAATCATGTGTATGCAATTAAACAAATATGCAGGCGTGATTTTTACAATAATTGCTTATAGATAACCACTTGATCATATATTAATTTACAGAAATATCAAGTTAGAAAACAATAATTTGATTATGAATGTAATTTATGTTTATATTTTCTTAGTAAAATATTATTGCGAAAACTAAAAAGTTGTAAATCGTTTTAACAAAGACAATCTACATTGTTTTTATTGAGAGAAGTAATTATAGTTTTGTCATAAGATTTCAGGAGTAATTCTTAGTAGATACTTTTTGATATATGTCATTTTGGTTAAATTGATTGTATAGTGAGCATAAACTCTTCCTCTTAATACAAATAGTGTAATTAATGTTTTATAAATAAATAATTATTTTCGAGAAAATATTGTTTGAAGTTGACGATTGGAATCTGATTGTGATTAAAATCACTATCGTAAATCACTTTGATGCAATTATGCGTAAAGGTTGATTGATTATTATAATTTAATAAAAAATTATTTAAATTATTAAAATTGTAATTTATCAAAAGCTATTGGTAACATTTTTATGAATTTGTGAAAACCCTCTTTCTTTAATATGCTTATTAGATGTACTATAAAATCTTTAAAAATCCGTCCTAATAGTATTTGTAATTACCAACACTTTTATGTTTTTATTTTAGGGGGTAATTTTTAAAAATCTGAGGTATTAACTTATATGTATCTAAAAGGTATAATCTGGCGGGTCCCATGCACAATCTGGGAGGGCCGAGGGAGATGCGGCGCAGATTCTTAATCGGTGTCGTACACTCGGTTCTCCTGTACGGGTTCCCAGTTTGGGTGGATACTATAGAGTACGCTTAGGGTGCAGAGACGGGCGGCGATCCGGACAGTTTCGGCGTACCGAACAGTGTATGGTGTGGCAGCGGTATCCTGTCGTCACTACCGCTCGCCGAGGAACTCGCCTACGGGCATGAGCTCCGTTGAGAAGGCGGCCGGCCCCTCGAACCCGAGGACCAGCTGGCGCTTAGGCGGATGACCATGCTCCGGTGGCGGACTCGCCTCTCGGAGGAATCAACGAGAGGCGAGTGGAGGCGCTGGTTTAGTCCGGTGTCTTAGGTTCTTGTTTTTGTGTTTTGTTTTGTGAGTTATTTTGCTAACCCTCCCTAACGGTTCCCACTCTGGATCCGGTTAACAGGAGGGGGCCACACCACGTTGCGATTCAGCTCTTGATTAATTTCAGGCTGATTCACAACGTGGTGGCGTGAATTATATATACACGGCGTGGGCCGCCCTGAAATAATGTCTAACGGCAGTTCCAGGGCGGTCCACAGTAATGCTGACCGCGTTATAAAAAAAAAAAAGGTTTGATCTATAATATAGGTATAAATAGTTGAAAAAACAAATTAAAGAAAATAATGTGATTATAGGATAAACAGTTATTATTTACACAAAAGTAGCATTTTTTTATTCAAATTCCGGTGTCGTCTACATACAAAAGAGAAATTATGAGAAAATTTTTTTTTCTCTGTAGAGTGTATTAACTTTTATTAAATATTTATTAAAAGGGCGCACAATTAAAAGAATATTTTCAACGGGTAAGTTAAAATATTTTGTTGAAAAAAAAAAATACTATTTCGAAGCTTTTGTAAATATCAAATAAATAATTGAAATTTTAATAAAAGAAATATCTAAAGTTTTCTCTAAAAAAATATTTTGATTTATTTGTTAAAAAAAAAAGTTAAAGCAATTTTAAGTAAAAAAATAACAACATTTTATGGTTTCTAAAATTCTTGATTTTTGGGATTTCTTTTATTAATTCTTTATAAAAATTCAATTTTGCAGCATAAAAAAAATTAATAAAATTAAGTGTGGTTAAATTTTTGAAATATAATGTATTACATTTTTTAGTTAAACATATTAGCTATTGAAATTTACACATATTTATCAAAATATGCACACTTTTTTTTTTGACATATCTTTTTTAAACGTAAATATTATATTGAAGAACATATATATATATATAATATGATATTATGAACAACTTAATATAATTTAATGAATGGTTATGTATATTATGTTATAATATAATCAATTTTTGTGTTGTATATTATAATAAACAGATGTATTCAGGCACGTAGCCAGAAAATGTTTATTGAAGGGGCCAACTATTTTGGGCCCTTGTATCATTTTCGATAATTTGTTTCCCATGAAAAGCTTGTGGGGGCTCTCTCCACTCCTCCTTAGACAGTATCCCATACTATGAATCTTACAAGTTCAAAATTTTACCATTTTTTGGTTAAAAACAAATTGTTTTCGTATAAAGTATACTAATTATTACAGTATTATAAAAAATGGATAGTACCTATAATTAAAAAAAAAAAAATACTTTCATCTTCACTATCGGGATGAATTTTTCATATTGTGAGAAATAAATAAAATAATGATGTGAACATAAGCTGATTAATTTTTCAACTTTTAAGCTATTAAGAAAAAATAATTTATACCTAAATACTAATAACAAATAAGTTATAAATAATTTTAAAATAAATATAAATTATAAACAATGTAAAATTTATTTTATTTAGAATTAAAAACAGTCCTGCCTTTTTTTAGTCATATTTTTATTACTATTATTTAGAACACACAAATAACAAATTAACAAAAACAAATAAATTACCTATTGTAACCACTAAATTATAAAAAGAAACAGATTAAAGATAAGATTTATCAAAAAAATGTTCATAGAGTATTACTCTATAGAATTTTGTTAATATATGTATATATATATTCCTACAGCCGCTGCATATGCCTTGCGTACAACGTTCCCCCCGCGCTTCGCCCGCCAACAAAACACAGCTATACCTCGTGCATGATACGTTTACGTACTTAAGTCGCTTTACATGTATATATATATTCTAATTACTATTAAAAATATATATTAACACGCTTTATTCTCATTAAGAGATATAGTGTATTCGTTCCGATTACAAAGGTATCGTCATTTTTCGTCACTACCACTATGTTCCGGTAGTGGGTAATTTACGCGCCTGCTGCTTTCCTTGGATGTGGTAGCCGTTTCTTAGACTCCCACTCCGGAATCGAACCCTGATTTCCCGTTACAACCATGATATTGATAGTAACTACTATCATAACATGAAACTAAAAACTGAAAAATAAATATAGTTAAAAAAAACACGCTTTTAAAGCACATCGAACTAAAAAGTTTAAAATATGCTTAAAACAATAATGAACGAAAAATACTAGTATTATTGTGATAAAAGCGTGGGTGCTTTGTGCCATATTTTTTGTATATTGAGCGCCCGACGCTTTTATCACAATAATACTAGTATTTTTCGTTCATTATTGTTTTAAGATTATTTTAAAAATTATTTTAAACTTTTTAGTTCGATGTGCTTTAAAAGCGTGTTTTTTTAGTTTTTCTAATCAACTAGATTCTAATCAATGCAGATACTTGGTAGTTTGTTATCATTTGTTGGACCAGAGTTAAAAAAAATTTACCTAAAACCACGTTTGGAGTAACTGCTATTCTATTTATTATTACGTCTAGAACGTTATCTTTTTCAAATAACGTTTTCTATGAATATAAAAATGAAAATACAGCCATAATAATGACTGTATTACTCAATAGTAATCACAAATTAATAATAATTTCAATGTATATAAGGCCTAGCACGTTTGTGATAATTCGTAAAAATAATTGAATTTTAAATTTGGGGAGGCCGGCCCTGGGTCACATTAAATCTAAGGGGGGCCAGGCCCATCCATGTCTACGTGCCTGGATGTATTGTGTAAATATATAATTTTTGAATCGCTAGATGATGTAATTCTTATTAATTGTATTTTTAATAAGATGTACGTAAAAAAATATTTTAGCTGGTGTTAATAGTTGTTTGAATGTTTATAATATTTGATCAGATGTAATACTTAATAAATAAAATAATTTATTAACGCATTTTCTTAAAGTTTACATTGCAGTATAGTCTGATTTATGATTATATTATAAATGGTTATTTTTCATGTTTTGTGTAATATTATTTCTGTTTTAATTGTTTCGTGATATCATTTATTTAAGTGTAATAAGTACTTGAACAAGCCCCTAAAAAAAAAAAAAAGAACAATGAACTATTGGTTAGCTATTATTATACTAATAGAGTTAAAAGAATATAAATGTTGTGGACCAGGTAATACCTTGTAATTAATAATATTTAAACTAATTTAATCTTTAAAATAAATGTTCGTTTAGCCGGTACGCCAGTTGATAAGTGCACAGAATGGAATCAAGGTATTTTGAAATAATGATTTTTATTTGTTTTTTAACTATTTTGTACAAAATTAGCATTTAACTAGATTTCTTTTAACCCTGGAGCGCTAGCGTACGTCAGACTGACGCATCGTGCGCGCGCCGATCGCTTCTCCTTATGACCCTTCCCTCCTGCACCTCTGTACCTTTTTTATGTGATTTGAATAAAGACACTTTTAAAATTGATCATAGCTCGTTTTTATCGCAACTCAACCTAAGCTCACACCTTTAACAATAAAAACTATCAAAGGAGTCAAATTGACGCATCGCTAGTAAAATGCGCCTATAAGATATCGCTAGTGTTCCAGGGTTACAATATAAAAATTATGAAAAATAAATCAACTTTGTTGAGCAATTTGTTCTTTATTTATAAGTTGTTATATAATTATTAAATCTATCCTTATCTCTTATAATTATATCATCTCTATTTTTGTAAATGATAACATACTATTATAAATATTTAATAATGTAATAAGAATTTAATTACTAATGGATAATATAAAGTAAGTTATAAAATATTTAATTATTATAAAAGTGAAACAATTGTATAATTAAAGGAATGACTGACAGATAACTTTTGAACTATAGTTTGAAAGTTAAATGTGTATTCATAACTAAACTACTATAGTAATTCAAAAGTTATAAATACTTTTATACTTAGATGGGAGGAAGTAGTGCTGCAGAGATTTGCACAATGAAAAAAATAACCCAAACTGAGACTATCTCAGTTTTCAAACCATTTTTATATCGGATATTTTCTAATATATAAGCTAGTTAAATATATTTTGACGTTTAGATCAATTAATTATGAACCTTTGAAAGGAATAAGTGATGTATCAAAAAACGATATATAAATATTCAGCTACTTATAAATCGAATATAAATACTACTCAACAAAATTAACACAAAAATGTCAAATTACTTATTATCTTAGAAGGAATTTAGGGGTCAATGATAAATCAAACACTTAGTATACGAAAAAATATATATTCTTTAAATTTAAGCTTTTTAAGTACTTATAAATAATTAAAAACTATATTATTTCTTCATATAAAATATTTATTTTTGTATTCTATATTTACAGTAACTTTTGCTGGAAGTTTAGCTGGTAAGTTGTTCAAAACAATTGCATGAAATAATAATAAATATATCAGTAATTATAATAGTGAATGGTAATATTTATTTTTAGAAAACATGACAATTTATAGTAAGTAGTTGAAGACATACCAAATATTTAAATATTGTGAACCATAGTAGTATTTTCACTATATAGAAAATTAAATATTTATATGAAAGATATAAAACTTCTTAATTTAAAATTTTTAGTAAAGTTTTTCAAGAAAATATTTAGTTTATTATGTTTAATAAAAGAAAAAATCGTAAAACATAATATTATATTACATTACTTTTATAACTATTATGTTTCTTTTTTTGATGGAGAAGAAAATGTTTTAAAATTATAAATGTTGTTGTATTATAGGTACTACTGAGTTCAAAATGTCGTCACTATTTAAATGTAAGTTATTAAAAAATATAAAGTAGTTAATCTCATATTTTTTAATTCTAAGAGATAACAAAGATTTATAGTGAATAATAAACTTGCAGAGTTCTAAATAGTTGTTAGAGTAAATAATTAAGTAGGTGTACAAAAAAAAAAAGAACGGAATATAATTGTAGAGCATATTGAATGTATTGTTCATTAACTTTTAATTAAAGTAAGATCTATTTCACGATTGTTTAAAATACAAATCGTCCTTAATACCATATTACTGTTTTTCGCGTTGTCGTTCTTTTTTATCACTCACTTCAAAAATAGATTAAAACTTCAAAACATTAATTTTAGAGCATAATAAAAATCTATGCACAAGTAAGCGAGAAAAAATGTTGTTTATAACATTACATTCAAATTGGATATAAATAGAAAAATATATTTAAAAAAGTAAAATAAAATTTTTGACCATGTATAATTTTTGGGGGAGACTCCGTTTCAATGTTTACTCTGATATGCTGCCACTAGATACATTATAATAATTAAAAATTATATATTTAAATAAAAATTAAACCTTATATAAAAAAGATAAAGTATCAATTTATAAATAATTGATTATGCATAATGTTGTCTTAATAGCAAAAACACGCAACACGATTTTCGAAATTATTCAAGAAGAACAAAAGAACCACCAGTTTTGTCAGTTGCTTACAATTAAAATATGATTTTTAATACTCAGTTTTTTCATGTAATAATAGAGGTATTCTATTTCAAAAACGTTTCAAATATGCATCTGTCTAATAAATATATAGTGTGTTCAGTAAATAAGGAAATGTGTTCCTATTGTTCGCATTGTTTGTAACAATTGACCTTTTTCCTAACTTACTGAATGCCCTTGATATTTTTTAAAAAATATTTTTTTGTCGAGTTACGTGATTTTGTCACAGAGAAGACGAAAAGTGTTCTGTTAACAACAGATTGACTATAAACACAATATAATATCGTGTTGTAGTAATTTCTAGAAGATGAAAATATTTGGTCGAAAATCGGTTTTAAAAATAATTGATTTTTGAATGTATTCAAATTGACTGAAATTTCCATGTCAGTTTATACTAATGCTCAGCACTAAAAAATCTGTCATGGATTTTGATTTATCTACTTATTAAATAAATCAATTACATTTGATACTAAAAAAATTATATTTTTCAGCTCGAAAAATGGAAGAACGTGAGTTATAATTTTAATTACTAATTTTTATTAATAAAATGTTTAATTAAGGTGATTGTTAAACAATAACTAACCTAATATATTTAAAAGTATAAAATATAAAATTATTTTTTCTTCATAAAAGTTAATAACATAAAATAGTCCCAGCACAGTGGGGTCGTGGCATTATTGGGTCAAGTATAATAATATTTGACAGTGATTAAAATCACTATCATAAAAAACGTTTCGAAGCAAATCTGTAGATAGTGTTTAATTGAAAAAAAAATGGATTATTCCAAAAGCTATATGATCTCATATTTCCTTATTTATATCCTGATTACAAGTTTTATGATTTATACTTATTAAAGCAATTAAATAAATATATATATATATAAATGTATAAAAGGTAATGGTCCGATTTAAAAAAAAAGGATGTCTCATAAAAGAAGAATATAAATATCATTTCTCATAAAAAAATTATATTGATCCATACATTTTTCAAAAAGTTATAACATTTTAAAGTTAAAAATGTAAAATATAAAATCGAAAATTTTAACACAAAAGTAGCATAGGGTAATCATTTTCACCACAAAGACAAAATAAAGTCCAAAATTTTTTTTTTTTATAAAATATAAAAAAAACACTATTTAAAGATTTGATCAAAGCATTTCTTATGATAGTGATTTTAATTACTGTCAGATATCATCTATACTAGTCCCAACCATGCTACGTTCACACTGTGCTACCGTTTTTTTTACCGTTTAGCCAATAGACAATAGAATCCATTTCTCGAACGTTCATGAAACAATAAAATTGTGACTGTATACTTAATAATAAAGCAATATAAAACATCTGTGACAGTTAAATGTGATGCATGATAATCTTTTTTTTCGGACTCTTTGTAAAGAACTTTCACTTAAAAAAAAAATGATCTCACCCCTCTTACAATTGTGTTAACTTTTGATTTCTAAATAGAACATATAATTTTGATCAGCTTATAAATAGATTAATATCTAATTAATTAAATGACCAGTCGACAATAACAACTTTTATACTAGCAATTTAAAAGATATTAGCACTTTTATACAGGGTAGGATGAATGGCGTGATTCTTAAATGCCTAGAGATAATAATAAACAGACCCACGTATCACCCCAGTCAATATAAGTGTTTCAATATACTGTTCTAAAGTTGTTAACGGCCGGTCATTTTCTAAGTTTAATTATTTCTAATTTTTAATCTGATTAAATATATATATATATATATATTTCAATTAAAAAACTAAAGATAATTCAATTTTAAGAAGGGAAATTGAATAGAAAAAATGTTTTTTTTTAAATATAGAATATTATGATATGAAAATAAAAAATTAATTTTTTTTAAATAAGTAGTGACTTATTAAATTATGTTTAAAACATATTTTTTATTTCTTATTAAAAATAAAAAAAAAATTAAAAATAGGTTGATAACAATTTAAGGAAATTTATTCATTGAATTAAAAGTATTAAATTACATAGCGAGTATGGAATGTTGATGGATATAGCTCGTACTGGTGTTTATTTATAACATATACTCCACTTTAAACATAGTTTAAGTTGGCAATAATTGTTGAATAAAATTTCAACAAAATGATAATTTTATCCTAAGTTATAAGCGTTGCTACTTAGGTATGAGACATTACTAGTAAAATAAATACAATATTAGAAAAAAAAATTTTTGATTTTTTATTATGAATATTTTTTGATTTATCAGTTATTAATTACTTTTTAGAAACGTTTCTAATAACTTATAGGAGTGTTAACATTATTTTCAAATGGCAATATACTTAATTAATTGGCATATTTCATAGATAATGATGTAATTAAGAAAAAGACTAATATAATCGATAATAGCTTTTGGACCAGTATTTTAGAAATTATTAACAATATAAAATATTACCTGGAGGTAAAAAGTGATGCTATTTTTATTATTAGCCATTTTCTGAGCGTACTTTTCCTCCCACCAATATATAAAAATAAGAATTATTTTTGAAATACTGGTCTAAAAGTTGTTATCGAGCCGTCAATTTTTAATCTATTCATTTTATATTTTATAAACTAATTAAATATGTATGTCATCATTTAAAAAATAAAGTTGACACTCCTATAACTTCTAAGGGATGATTCTAAAAAGTAATTATTAGCCGATAAATCAAGAAATATATTTAACTAAAAAGAATTAAAAATTTTTTTCAATATTATATTTATTTTGTGAATAATCGAGTAGTTTATAATTAACCGACCACTTTGTATATTATCCATACATATAGTTCATGTATTTTTGTATATATTTAGAAAAATTTGCTTTATTGCAATATTATGTTTCATTTGGCGTGGATTTGATGCAACTTAAAGTTTATGAAATTATAAACTATGAGTTACAAAAGGTAAATTTTACTGACTTATAAAATTTTTTAAAATTTTTGAATAATTAAATTATTTTAATATTTTAACTTTGATGTGTATCTGAGATGCTACTGATTTTTACTATGACTATTTACTAATTTTCGTAACAGTGGAAAATGTCACCAAAAATATCAATTGATATTGAGTTTGAGACGGATAATTATTAACTTCGGGTGAAAATAGCCGATTTTGTAGCTTTTTGTGTAGTATAGAAGTATACTATAGTATAATCATTCTATAGGATCTAAAGATAATACACGATAACAGTTACCATATGTGGAATTGTTTTTACATTATTGGCATACTTGTTTTGTTAATGCTTTTTATAGCTGAAACAACATCGTGTTAAAGGATGAACTTTGTTGTGTATCAGTGGACAAAATGTAAAGAAGCAGGTATAACTGTTTGGTTAATCAGCTCGGGGACACTATTCAGCGGGAGTTTTGAATGAGCAGTCAAAATAGCTTATGTAATGTGGTGGTAGACGTCGTAACAAAATATGGTAAAAATATTATCCTGTAACTTAATCGTACCGGCTAGAGAACGGCGATGAAAAAATAAAAATGATGGTTTCCTAATTATTTCTCGCTTATAAACTGACGAACGTTTTGTTCATCAGAGATTGATAATTGTTCTATTAGTTAACGCGTAGATGTTTGTAGTGTTTGCTAGATGGCGTATTAGTTATAATGTCTTCTAATACTGAGTTAAGCTCAGCAACAATATAATTAAATTTAGTTTCCTTACCCTTTATATCTTGTTGTGGTTGGAAAACTACAAGACAAGTGCTTTCCAATATCTTCTATTGACATACTTGTAAGTAGTCTTGAATCGTTAGGATCACCAATTCAGGAATTGTTTTAACAATTAACAACACACAAATATTTGTAGCCGCGTTTATTAATTAAAATGCCAACTTTCAATCACACGAGTAAGAAAGTACAATATATAATAAATAAAACGAGAGTGAAGTCAATGTAAATATTTGAAGTCTGATAACGCGAATTGTCCTAAGTTTATATATCGTCGTGTAACAAAGGTTATAAGATTGTCAAAGACCAATAGATTTCTCGCAAGATAAGATAAGACTATTGAAAAAATATTGTTTTTTCCTTTAGTTACATATGTTTCTTGTTTTATCAGCTATTAAATATTTTTTAGAATCCATTATCCATTGCAACTTATAGGGATGTTAATTTAAATTTTTTAATGGCAATATACATAATAATTACACAGCTCCACAAAAAAATCGAAAAAAAATGCTAGTAAACAGACCATGTTTACACTACTTTACTTTACGGAGAAATAATACTTGTTAGATATTTTTATTAATTGTAAGATCCATCATTACAGATTCACATAAATCAATATAAATTACTCCAGAAAACATTTACAATTTTTACAAGATAGTTTAAATGGTAGTGTCTATCATAAACTACTAAATTACATGAAAAACAAATATATTTTGACTACTATGTTTTTATGTAATCAGCTACTCGAGTAGCCGAGTACGAAATGCAAGACATAAGTACTCTGAGATGTAGAAGACCAAAGTAGGTAGGTGAAAAAGAAAGAACTTAGACTTGAATTAATACAGTAAGTTGGACAGCGACAAATGAATACAAAGACTGATGAATGACACAAAGCACTGGAAACGACAGACTATGATGGCCAGGTCCTTTGAGTTTAAATAGTAATTTGGATGATTGCCAATTTTTCAATAATTATTAATTGTCAATTAATTAGTATCTAGAAGCGGATGCGCTGTCTGTACTTTATTATAATAATTCTTTACAATAATGATAACGTGACAACATCACAATATATAATAATTAGCTTATTTAATAGATATTGATCTAATTAAGAAAATGACGAGTAGATATTAACTTTTGAACAAATATTTCAGAAGTTATCAGCATTTTTATATTTAGGTAAGAAGAGAAATGTTTTTTTATAAAATGATCCACAGCGAAATCTATTAAGTGTTGATTACTTTCGAAATGCTGATTTAAAAGTTGTTATTGGTCCGAAGTAATTAAGATTTTTTTAATATGATTATTATCTAATATATAAGTTAGTTATTATATGTCACCATTAAAAAAAATTTAATTGATCCTTTATAAGTTATAAATGATTATTTAAAAAGTAATTAATAGCTGATAAATCAAGTAATATATGTATATAATAAATATCAATATTTGTTGTTCAATATTGTATTTATTTTATCTTATTTAATGCGCCACGGCTAGCAAGTTTGAGAGCATCGTGGAGATTCGGTCGCGTAATGTAGAAGATGTTTCTTCTAGAATTTTAACGCGTGTCGATTGCCAAACAAAGAACTCGGTACTTACATATTATATTTGAACAATTATAACATTATCTATGATATACATATTTTATATATATATATATATATATATGATGTACATGTTGTGCTAAATAATTTGTAGTCAATAAATCTTTCTACAAGTATTTAATTAAAAAATATGGATAGAAATGAATAAAAACAAATTTTATTTATTAATTTAAATTAGTTCATGATAATGATTATATTGAATTTTCAGTGTAAATTATTATAATAGTTATGAAAATAGCTTCTTACAATAATAAAAAAATTTAAAGGATAATTAAAAAAAATAAATATATATTTTGAAAATCGTTTTATTATCTAAATTAAATACTAGCTTTGTCTAGCTGAATTTTTGTCTCAGACCCGGGGACCTATAAGTCTCGCATTAATAAAATTTTTACTGTACTAATTTTGTTATACTGGTTCTGAATATTTTTTCTGGAAAACTCTACTAAAATGGTGAAATTTCAAAATTTAATAGCATCATTGGTGTGTTTTTTCGCAAAAAAATTATAAAACATAGAATAAATATATACCATACATTATGTTATACATGTAAAGACACGAGTGGTTAGTTATATGTTATATTAGTTACATGACACCTATGCTCTTATGTAGTGAATAGTAAAGATTCATCTGTGTTATATGCAACAAAACCAGTGATATTTGTATCATTAACAATATTAAGAGACATCTTGACGGCTAAACCGCAACTTGTTATGATTAGCAAAACAATTTTATATTCATAACTAAAAAAATGGTAAGGAAAGATCAAGGAGCAGAGCGGCACTACACGCATGATGCACACAATGTAGGTGCACAATTCGCGTCTAGAGAATCTAATTATCTACTACTAAGTATCAATATGTGCTATTAAAATCATGTATATAGGAGTTTAAATAAAAAAATATAATTTTACGTTCAGTTTCTTAAAATTTTATAATATTACAAGACGTTGAATAAATGTTGAAGGAAGAAGAGGTAGAGGAAGACCAAAAAAGAGATGGAGTGATGTAATTAATTGCGATATGAGTGTAGATGATGTGAGAAATAGTGTCAATTAAGAGTTTAGGATAAGGGTGGCCAACCCCAAGTAATTGAGATTAAGGCGAAGAAAAAAAAGAAGAATACTACAAAGTATTATTAATAGAACTTCTTCAGTAACCTTAATTTTTTTATAAATTTTTATATTTCATATCCAATTATTTAAAATCTAAAAATAAAAATTAATAATTTGTATTCGTGTTTTTAAATAGAATTCAAGTGAACCATTATATTTTTTATTCGCCGAATCAAGTTATAAAGTTTCGAGGTACTATTTTAGAACACATAATTATGAAAAAGGATTGACATTTGTTAAAAATGGTAAATAAATAACTTACGTAGCATAAACGTATTTTAGATCATATTTCTTTCATAAAAAAACTATTATATAAGACTAATAGATTTTAGTTATAAAGTCAGTTTAGGTGGAAACTAATATTTACATTCTAAAATTTACCAACCACAAACGATAAAGAAAGATTTCAATGTAATAGTCAGGTATACCATACGTTTAAAATTAAAGATAATTAAACAAAGTGAAAAACTAAGTATTTAAAAATTTGAATTTTATTTTTACTAATTAATAACAAGAAACAAAAAGATGTATAACCATTTATGAAAATTGTATAAAATAAATTTAAGAATACTTCCACGGTCCCTTGCCAGTTGTATGCTGTGACTAATGAGGTTGACAGCCGACATTAAATTTTGTCAAAAAGTATAAGGCGTCCTGAACTAAACCTAGGCAGATTGTTCTATCGCGGATGAATGCGAGTACAACAGATGAGAGGAAATAAAGTAGTTAGAAAAGGAGAAGGTCTAAAGAATAAAATGTTTCATACTAGCTAGACAACTTGTAGCTGTTTCTAGTCATGTGTACAGGTCTATCCAATGTTTGTAATGTCAACGGTGTAGGAATATTATCACTTAACTTTGGGCTGAACTCGTGAATAGGGAGAAAGACAAAGTAAGAATAGATACGCGGAATGTTGGAGCATTAACTGGTAGAAGTTAGTATGGTTTTAGTGAGAATAATGAGGCTGGAGAAAGAATCCTGGATTTTGCAGTATCGTATGATCTTACTGTGGTTAATACTTATTTTAGAAAGAGGGAAGAACAATATATAACTTATAAGAGTGAGAGTAATAGATCACAGGTTGATTTTATGAGGAAGAGATAATGTAAAGTGATTAACAGATTGTAAAGTTATCCCAGACTAGAGTGTAATTTCACAATATAGACTGATGATGTTGGAGTTGTGATGTAGTGGATGTAGAATATACAAAAACAGAATGAAATCGAGGATCTGCGCGGAGAAAATTGAAAGGGGAAAATGAAAAAGAGTTTATAAAGACGGTAAAAGAGAGGACGTTATTGGATTTTTGGTTGGTGTATAAGTAGAATCCCAGGAAACAAGGAAATCTAGTGGTAGGATGAGGATGTTTAAAAAATCACAGAGAATAAGAACAAGCAGTTCAAAGTATGACAGAAGAGCAAAAGGAGAGAAAATTGGATGGAGTATAAACACTTGTGCAAAGAAACCAAGTGTGCAGTAAATAAGACGAAGATTAAGAGGTATTATGTGTTGTGAGATAGGCTAGGAATAAAGAAAGGTGAAAAAGAAGTCTATGGACTTGCAAAAGTAAGAGAAAAAATATTTTAAGATTATCAATGTGTAAGGTGTATAAAAGGTATTGATAATAAGGTACTCTCCAGTGATGATGGTGTGAAAAAATGGTGGAAAGAGTATTTTGAAAAATTACTGAATGAGGAGTATCTAAAGGAAAATTAGAGGATATTTTGTGTAATGAAGAATTGATAGATTTAATGTGTGAGAAAGAGGTATGGGAGGCTGTGAAAGAAAAAAGTATAAAGCAGTAGAACTAGATGATGTGTCAGTAGAAATATGAAAAATATTAGCCGGTTATGTTATGAAATGGTTGAAGGATCTTTTTAACAAAATTTTATTAGAAGGGGAAATACCATAAGAATGGAGAAATGGGGTTGTGGTGCCGATATTTATGGGTGAAGGAGACATACAGGAGTGTGGAAATTATATAGGCATAAAGCTTATGATTCATAGTATGAAAATTTGGAAAAAGATAATAGATAAGAGAATAAGAGATGGGACAATCGTAACTAAAAACAATTTAGATTTATACCTGGTTAGTCAACAATGGAGTCAGTCTTTTATGTGAGTCAGTTAAAAGAAAAGTAAAAGAAAAGAAGAAGAAGCTGTGTATGTTACTTGTAGTTTTGGGGAAAGCGTATGATAGAGTGCTAAGAAAGGTTTTTAAGTGGGTATTAAGAGTAAAAGAGTCCCATAAAGGTACATTAATATAATAAAAAATATGTATGATGGCACTTGTACCAGAGTTAAAAGTGTAGGAGGAATAACAGAGAAGGTTTTAGATCAGGAGTAAACTAAAATTCTGCTTTAAACCCCTAATTATTTTCTATAGTGATGGATAAAATTACTAGAGAAATACTAAAAGAAATTTCTTGATACATTTGTTCGCTGTAGATATAGTGTTAATAGATGAAAATAGGGAGAAAATTAATCAAAGGCTAGAGGTGTAGAGATCAGCCTTGAAGAAAAGAGATTAAGAATAAGTAAGAGTAAGACAGAGTATATAAAGTACGAGTTTGACAAATGAAAACATGAGGTAAATGAAATGAGGAGATCAGTGTAAGAAACTTATAGAAATGAATTTTGAGGGAAGAAGAGGTAAAGAAAGACCAAAAAGAGATAGAGGGATGTTATTAAATGCGATATGACGATGATTGTGTGAGTATAGATGATATAAGAATTTTGTCAAGTTGAAATTTAAGTTAAAGGTGGCTGACTCCAAGTAGTTGGGATTAATACGAGAAAAAAGAAGAAGTATTGCTTTAATACATTGCTTTAATATGCTTGTAATTTAATAAGTAAAAAAAAAAAAAATAGTTAGCTAATATTGTGCAAAATCTAATTATTGTGTTAGGGGCTTGTTTAATAGTTGAGGATCTTGGTCAAAACCAAGAATCGGAAACTACCCGACGTCTGCCCAAATATCGTCCCTATCTCCTTAAATGAGTTTTAATTGCCTGAAGGAGACACAGGCAATCGTGTACCTTAGTTACAGAGGATAGATTATTAAATAAAACTAGACTATTGTTTTATGTCAACGACAAAGTAAAGTTATATTTTAGATGTTCAGTAAATATAAGTTATATGTAATGTACAATACGTCTGACCTGAATCCTAGTACAGTTGGTTAATAGGTATATCCAAGTGAGACGGAGTTGGTTGGCTATGATGACAATTGGCGATAGACGGGTCGTTGAATAAAACAAGTTAAGTTATAAATAATATAAATAAGACGTAAGTAATAATATTGAAAACTATGTCTATAACGGCCACTCAAACACAACTGCCCTTTGTTAGTTCGACGTCAGTAGCTCCGGACTACAGACGAGTAGAATTGTCACATCAGCATCTCCCTCTATGCTAATTAATATGTATTACGAATTAAATAAATAGAAATAAAACGTGTAATAATAAGTGGTAAGAACATAGTAGTAAATGTTCTTACAATTGTATAGATTTTAAACTAATGCCTACGGAATCCTCACCTTCCATTATTACGCTAGGGGTCGTAGTGAGTGAAGGTGTATTAATTTCAAATATTTTTCCTTGAATCGTTTTATTTGAGTAGATAAAATTTTAGATCGTATATTATACTTATAATATTTAAGCTTACAATTATTCAGATGTAAATTTAATAAATATAAATAATTATATAATATATAGATATAACTAATATAAAATAGAATTGATTAAATTAATTCTATATAAAATTTATTGCATGTTACTGTTACATTCGTATTTTTTATTTGGTTATGTTATTACTCTTTTATCTATTTAATATAATGTTAATAAACTTAAAAAAATTAAATGAATTTATAACATAACTTTTTTCAGCTATTACTAAAATTGAACAACTCCCTGTTGATGGTTTTTTTTGCTCTCATAAACTTAGTATGTGGTTAGCATACTTGCGAGGAAGTCAAATTGATATAATGAAGAGTATTGAAAATAATAATGAGATTATTGACATTATAAATAGTCGAAGAAGAGATGATTTTAACAAAGCATTTATGAAGTACCAACTTTTATTAAAAGAAAGAAATTTTAATAGAGATAGCCGAATGGAGTTTTTAATAGGAAAAGAGTATTTAAAAGTAATTCCACAAACATTTTATTGAATATGTTTTTTAAAGAACTAAAACAAATATATTTTACCATTAACGACTGAAAAATAAAAAAAATAACTGGTCAATTGTATGCCAATAGTCATTTTTACAATTATTGCCGTAAAAGTAAGTGAATATAAATTTAAGGGATAATAGGAACAGGACTGTTGCCTAAAATGTGTAAGATGTGCTTATATGCCTTACGTCACTGAAATCAAGTGAACAGTCCTCTCTGTTGGACGCCAAATTCTTTAGTGAAACAAAAGACGCACAGTTCATAAGTTTTAGGATTATGTTAAAAATATTGTTTCCTTGAGCGTACTCGTAGTTTCTTTCCAGTTATGTTACCTTCAAAAATGTTGATTATAAAGTCATCGTGTCAAATGAATTTTGTTCAAATAAATTTAAACCTCTATAATGATGTATTTAAATACGAATATTTTTAAAATAAAAGACAAAATTATAATTAAGATTAGCTTTTTTTTTTAACAATTTTACTTAATCGATTTATTACTTGTTGCTCATTATTTTATTATTAATTTAAGGTTGTCGATGCTCATATTCCATTAAATGAAGACTATTTAAAACTAAAAAAAAATTATGCCATTGAAACTGGAATAGAATGGCTAGAAAAGTATGAAAATAAATTCATAAATCCAAGTAATCTTATTGAAAGTAGTTTTATACTAGGAAATATATACATGAAACTGGATCAAAAAAATTACGCTAAATATCATTATCTAAAAGCTATAAAAGAACCAGTTAAGAATGCTGAGGTAGTACTTTAACTATTTAAATTATTCAAACTAATCCCATAGTTGGTTAGAATACACACTCATTGGTGTGTGGAGAAAAAGAGGATTTTAGGCTAAAGGTAGGTGTGTGCCAAGGATTTGCTAATCCTTATCTATAGTTTATAGTAATGAATGAAATTACTTATGAAATACAAGATGAGGTACCGAAGTGTATATTGTTTACTGATGATAGAGCGTTAATAGAAGAAAATAAAGAGAAAGTTGACCAAAGGCTTGAGATGTAGAGATAAGTTCTTGAAAGAAATGGATTAAGGATAAGTGTTGAAAACGAAATATAAAATATGGAATATGAATTGAACGAAAGAAAACACGAAGACGATGAAACGAGACAAATTATGACAATAAACAAGGACATAGTAGACGAGATGGAAATTTGTAAATATTGAGAATCAGATGTACAAAATAAAATGGTATTGTCGAGAATGCTATCGAGAAGGATCAAGTAGGGAAAAACGTCTGGTGTTTTATGTGATAAGATAATTTAAATGAGGTTAAAAGGAAAGTTCTATAAGATTATAGTGAGATCAACAGTATGATATGAGTTATAGAATGCTGTGTGGTTGATATGAAAGTAAAGCTGAAAATATTGTATCAGAAATAAGAATATTTAACCGGATGAGTGAAATACGAGAGAGGATAAGAAAATAAATGAATATGTAAGAGAATGAATAGAGTTAGCAACTATCGTAGACAAGATAAGAAAAAACAGAGTTAGATGTTTTGATTATATTATGGACAAAGATAAATCGGAAGCAATATGAATGGTTATAGACATGAACGCTTAAGGAAGAAGATAAATAATAAAGTAAAAAAAGAGGGGGTGATTGTTATTGGAGGTAATATGAGAACTACTGGTGTGTGAATAGTTGATATAGAGATCATGTCAAGTGGAGGTTTAGGATTTGGGAAACACATTGATTTTATCATTAATTATGTTAGTTTAGTCTTTATAATGTATTATTTGCATCAAATATTATGTTATTCTTAAAATGTGTACGAATTTTTTTTTATTGCTATAAAAATTCTAATTGAAATATTTCAATATAATTTAAATACTTTTAGGACAGAGCATTAAATTATGAAATTGCAAAAACCATAGCGAAATTTTGTAAGTTAATATCATACTTGAGCAAAATACATTTCTGAATAATCTGGAAACACTTTTTTAAATCCTTATCTAACCTAAAAAAATATTGAAGAATCTAAATCAAGCAATTATTAGTCTTTATTATTCGAGGATTTTTTGAGAGTTGGACATTTATTCTACGTACATATTTCTTACAGCATATAAGAGTTGTCAGGTTTATTTTGTATAGTCTTCGGTACTCTAAAACATCATTATAAGCTTCTATTAAGCTGATTAATAAAATGAATAAGATGGTGTTAATTCAAAAAATTGTTTGAAAATATTTCTAAACGATTGATCTTTATGTGCATATGTTAACTTAAATTTATATAAATACGGGGTTAAAAATATTAAAAAGATCTTTTACTCGAAATGTGCATCTTATGAAAGCGCACATTAGATGATACAGGATATGCTTTATAAATGTGAATAAAATTGAATTATTAAAATTACTTTTTTGTGTAAGTAATTGAGTGAGTTATGATAAAAAATCACTCTGTATATTTATATTATTGTAATTTTTTTTTATTAAATAATTTTTCTATAACGAGAGTTTAAAATTGTCAATAGTTTACAGGAAAATGATTGTCCCATATAATATTTTACTCTATATAAAACACTAGTGTACATTTTAGACACTAGTATCTAAAATTTATATTATAATATAATTTCAATTACATTATATGCTAATTTTACTTATATTTATAATTTTTATATTTTTAATAGAGATAGGTAAAAAGATGTTTATAATGATATAAAAGTATTGCAATTCTTATAAAATGTTATTGTTTAAATGGTTTAAATAAAAAAGTCTTACTATTTTTTTCACCTCTAATGATTGGCTGATTTTTCATAATATATTTATTTACAGTTTACGGAGTTATTAATGACCTAGATGAAGAAGTAGAAAATAATTTTAATAGTTTTTGGGAAATTCTGCAGTCAACTCCTGTAAGTTATCAAAAGTGGTATTTTAATATACAATATAGTTCATTATTTTTTAACATGTTATGTCATTTTTGATAAACTGTGTAGGTGTAAAGTTTATTCATATTACGAATGTGTTATATTTTAATGTATTTGTATCAATTGTCTATATACCTTTATATTAATAAATATTTATTTTTATAAAAGGATAAATTTGAGCCATCAATTGTAAACAATTTTGTGAGAACGGTTACTAAACATAATTCAAAGTATGTTACTAAAAGCAGTGTAGATAAAATTACAGATGATATAATTGATAAAGGTATAGTTTTAAGTATTAATATTAAGAAAACTTACTTAATTTTTAAAACTAATTCATTAGGAATAAACGCATTGGAAAAGATTCAATATTCTCAGTCTTTATATGAATATTACAAATGGTCTGCAGTATTGTCGAGTGCCAAATGCTATAGTACGACGAAAAGTAGAGCCCACCTTGATTTAAAAATAAACCTAGAAGGTGCATTATCAAATAAAAGTGAATTAGATGATGAAAATGATATTCATTTAACTTATTTAGTTGGAAAATATGCATGTGAGGTAATTAGATAAATTTAAAACATAAATATATAATTAGGACACAATAAATATTGAAATCTGACAGTGATTTTTCATCACATTTATAAAACGTTTTGATGTGTATTGTTTAATTTCTAATTATGACAGTTGGTTTGCACATAAGCTAAGTAATATGAAAGAATTAAAAAAAATTGTTTTTCCTTTTATTATTAAATTTTACCTAGTACATGATGGATTGAAACCCTATTTGGTTGAATTTTCCAAAAAGTATATAAAATTATAGCAAAATCTCTTTAGTATTATCTATTAAAAATATGTTTGAATCAAGTTTTTCTAAAAAATGTTCTATTAATTTTAAATTAATATATATATATAATTTACTATTTTCAATGTCCCTAATATTTTGAGATATTTTCATTATTTTGGACAATGCTCTTAAATAACTTATAATTATAGTTATTTTGATGCATTGATCAGCAATGTTGGTTCTGTAAAAGCTGAGAATTATAATGAATACACACGATGTTTCGGTGGCAAATTTAAACAAAAATTGTGGACACCAAACATATTTTTGCACAGAATACTTTAAAATTATATTATACAACAACTTCACATGTTTTTAAAATCGTAAACATGACACTCAATAATAACTATGAAAATGTTAAAAATTTTTGTTATTTTTAAATTTTTAATTGTATATTAATTTTTTTAATTATTATAATAATAAGATATTAGGAAGTATCTTAAATAACGTTGAATTATTGACACAAATATTTGCAACAATATCTTTTATTATATTATAATAAAAATGTTATACAAATATACAACAAATAATGTTTATTAATATTATTTGTTCATAATTATTAACTAATAATGATTTTGTTATGAAAAATCTTAATAATGAATGAATTATAGTTTACAAGTAGTTCTATTCTTATACAAATGAGTTTAATATGGTGACTTTTCAACTCAGTAAGTGCTCTAAGCAAACGCCCTTCAAAAATCTGGACGACCAATTGGTACTTAATACTTATTTCACGTATCATTAAAGTCATAATATATAGATTCAAATATTTGCTCACTATATATTTCTAATTCTGTATCGTCGTGGTAGTCATAAAAGTCAGGATCGAAAAAAAATATTGCATGTATTTTTGGTGTTACTGATACTTTTAAATCAACGTAACTTTTTAGCTTCGATGCGAAGCTGAGAAGGTATTGGTTTTACTAAGATGTGTTTTTTTTTTTTTTGTGTCTGTTACCACTTTTTCTTGCTCTCACCGAACCGATTTCTTTCAATGATACGTCAAAAGATCACAAATTGTATCTAGTCGAAGACATTACCCTCAAAAATTGAAAAAAATTCCCTCGTTCCCCGTAAATGGGGGAAACCTCCAAAAAAATTACGAATTTAAAAATCGCTAATTTTCGAAATTTTTTCAATTTTTTTTACTTAAAAGTGCCATAACTTTTTCAAAAATAAACATATCAATATAATTCTTTTTTATATAGATGCATCATATCATTACCTTTCATTTGGTATATTTTTTTCATAAATTTAACCCTTAACCTGCCCACAAGGGGGGATTTAAAATGACAACTTTTTCACAAAAAATTAATTTTTTTAACTTAAATTTTGAAAATGTTCCGGAAGGTCTGACACTTTTATATATATCTTAAATTAAAGCTNGTCTGACACTTATATATATATATTAAATTGAAGCTAATGTAATATACTTTATTATGATAAAAAAAAATTTCGGACTTTATTTTATCTTCACGGTAAAAATGGCTACCGAATGCTATTTTTGTGTGAAAATTTTCGATTTTGTATTTTCCATTTTTAACTTTATTATGCTATAACTTTTTGAAAAATGTATGGATCAGTACAATTTTTTTATGAGGAGTAGTATTCATATACATCTTTCATTTGACATACTGTTTTTTAATCGGATCATTTTCCTATATACGAGGGGGGTTCAAATATAAAAAATGCATGTAAAAAGTAGAACTTTTTCAACTTAAATTTTGAAAGTGTTCCGGAAAGTCTGACACTTTTATATATATCTTAAATTAAAGCTAATGTAATTTACTTTATTATGCAAAAAAAAAATGTCGGGCTTTATTTTATGTTCACGGTGAAAATGGCTATCGAATGCTATTATTGTGTGAAAATTCTCGCTTTTATTTTTTACATTTTTAACTTTATAATGCTATGACATATTGAAAAGTGTATGGATCAACATTATTTTTTTATGAGAGATAATATTTTTTAATAATCTCTTTTTCATTAGACATACTTTATCTTAATCAGGATATTAATAAGGAACTAGCAGATCATGTAGCTTTTGGAATAATCCACCAATTTTTTAAAATTAAACACTATCTAAAGATTTGCATCGAAGCGTTTTTTTTTTTGATAGTGATTTTAATCACTGTCAGATATCATTATAATTGATCCATCTATACCATGTCACCACTGTGCCGCGACCCCCCTGTGCTGGGTTTTTTATTTAACTCATTTGTTTCACTTTCAAGTTCTTTCAATATTTGTTTCAAATGCAATTCACAGAATTCAGTATTAAATGCAATTAAAGTGGAATCAATATATTAATAAATTTTTTTTCTTTAACATTTTCAAATATTGGTTTATGAATACACTTTTTAAAAAGATTTAAAAAAAAAATTTCGTTTTTTTTTGTCTCTTACATTAGCAAGCCAAATTTTCAAATTCTACAAGCAACCACTGATGGTCTTTATTTCGCCACAATTTGATATTTGTCTTTGTTAATTTCACACCATGTATAAGGAGTGGTAAAAAAATGAGGCTGTAACCCTAGCATTATATTAGATAATTTGAAATCTCAAGAAACTTTTATTATTTCACTATTATTATTTTCAGAATTGTAATTATTTATTTCTAATAACTTTCATAGTTTAAGAAAATATTCGTATATTTACACAAATATACGTGTAATTTTCTTGTACTATTGGTGCAATAGAAATAATAATTAAGTTTTTTTAATGCATTGTCTTTAAATTTATTAAAATTTTTTTTTATTTCTGTAATAATTTTAGATTGCAAACTAAGATGTATTTTTAAAAATCCTCCACCGCCATCTAATCCGATTTATCTTAATAAGTATCATCTTAATAAATTACATTTATGACTTAAACTTTTTGCCATTAAACTTAAACAATTTATGCAGCTTTTTCTAATGTTTTTTTTGAATCACATCTTCAAATTACTTTTTTTTACAAAAATATGGCCCTTTATTTTTTTAACATTCACATAACTTTTGTGTGTTTGACCTCGCGTCCTTATAATTTTTTTAAACTTAGAGTAATCAGGTAGATTTAAATGATTTTATCTTCAATGCTCTTGAATATGTATAATTTTCTTTTACACATATTACATATAACGCAAGGTAAAAAATTAGATATTTCTATTTCAATTAATGAATCAACTGTTACTTTTAATGGGCCATGATTTTTGAAGAGATTTTTATTGTCACTCAAGTACAGAAAGCAAATTCATTTGCGGTTATTTTTTTAGTTACTTTTTATATCGGGGTCAGTGTTTCGAGGGTTTTTTTTTTATTGAAACAATCGAAAAGAAAAGAAATAGTACCACATATATATGTATATGTAAATTTTAATTTACTAAGAATCCAGAGCTATCGCTAACCGTAAAATAACAGTTCAAACGAAATCTGCTCTATATAGATACAGTTTTACCAAAAGTACTTATATTAAAATTTTATATTCAGCATTTTTGCTTACCTTTGAATAAATTATCTTTAAATAAAAATCATTCTTTTGTAGTGAATCAAAAAAAGAAAAATAATATATAATTTAATATTTTATTATATTAAATGGCAATAATAAGGGGGTATTAATTTAGGGAGCTACTTTGACAGTTAAAAGAAATAAGTTAAATAGAATATGACGGGATTTTGATTCTTATTTGATCCACTCTTTTATTGTATTAATAATATTATTATTCGGGGTATGAGTACGAGAGTATGTAAGAAAGATAGAAGATGAATAGAAAAATAAAGTGATCTTTATTTTATTAATATGGGATTTATTATAATTAATTGTCAATTTTTAAATATCAATAATGCCACGAGTTTTGACGGTTATCGATGATAAGTGGTATTGAGTCATCTCATGTGTCTACCCAGAGTGGTATGGTGGCTATACATATGAACCTCCAACCTAACTCCTGAAATAGACACGTATCAACGATATAACTCTGCCAAGTAACTCTGTACAAACATTATCGATTTATTAAATTTACTTGGTATATTTATTATTATTGATAATCACTTGATTTTCCTGTATGCCTACTTAATCTATGTACTCATAAAATTTAATTCTAAACCTTATTTATTTTTGGTGAATTTATTAGATTCCTACCTTGATATTTTCTGCTATACTCTTAAATAAATAGATGTTGTACTTTTTTGTACAAATATAATTGTGTTGACGGTGGATCACTTTTTGCATATATTTCGTTGTGTGGAATGATCGAGCGTAGTGAGTGCCTCTATGAATATCTGACTGCATCTGACCACCATCAGAGTGACATCTGAGCCAGAATGCTCTTTATTTTTGGCTTTTTATATTAAATTTGATCGTAGTTCAAAGGCAAGAAGTAATCCCCGACGCCACTGTTATTTCTTTATTAATCGTAATTTATTACATGTTATTTATTACATTTTCATCAATAATGATCTACATATTATAAAATACTATTATATCTTACATAATAAATTAGACATAGTTTATTACCCTTCATCTTATGTGCTACCATTACATATTGTTTATTATTTCCTATTTGTTTTATATAACTAATATATGCTTTTTTCTACGAAATTTCATTAGTATGTTTAAACATTTAAAAGGTACATATATACAGAGTGTTCAGTAAGTCAGGAAACGGGTATCTATTGTTCTCATTATTACAAACAATGAGAGCAATAGAAACCTGTTTCCTGACTTACTGAACACCCTGT